CGTTTTCCCTCTGCTTGGTAATTAAATGTCTGCCACCAGGTGGATAGCAAAGATACAATTCTTAAAAAATCGCCATTCCAATTCACTCAGCAGGGTAGGGGAGATGCGGTTCACCTCTCTAAATGCTGCAGTAAACTGTCTTACCCAAGACAACACATTATTTCCTCTAGGAAAGGAGTTCTTCCTTACATCTGTATTTTTCTGCAATAATGTGTATTCAAAAAATCTGGGCAACCACATTCAGGAAATTAACTACGGCTGCAACAGGTACCGAAAGAGAAGAGGCGTGACTGCCTTTACACACTGGGAAGAAATGCGAAGGGCGAGAGCTATTTTTAAACAGAATGACAGGTTTATGGTCATTGTGTAAACTTCAACTTAATCACCAGCCACCGTATACTAAATATGTAGTTCAGAAAGATTCACAGAACGCATCTTCCATAAATCGATTAAAATTAGACTTAATGTAGAAGAATGCTCCTGATCAAACACAGAAATGAGGTTCTAAAAACATTTTGGACGAAAAGTAGCGGGAGCAAAGCATCTGAGCAGCTTCAAAATGTGTATCAGTGTATGAAGGGAATTCTACCTCCACATTCACATTTGGGGACCGTGGAAATGGGATTTAAATTATGCTTAAAATAGGATCTCTACAGTCAGAGACAAAAAAGGAACGATATTTTAGACACCTAATTTAATTGTCTAGATTTTACAAGCACCAAAGAGTTCTCTCTTCTGTTACTGTTCTTGGTGAAAGGCTACATCAGTTACACCTGCTTTGTGAATTATGTTTACACTACTGCTGTTACTTCTGTTGATTTCATTTTTTCCCTGCATTTTGTGTAGAACTACCCTCCTATTTTAATTCTCTTTATATGGATTGCTGCACACTTCTTTTTGTTTTCCAAAGTTAATGTTTTTACATTCAAAAAGTAGGAGAGAGATTTTCTGTTAACACGGCTTCCACAGCTGCTACTGCTTGCACTGTGAAATGCAAACACATGCACCACGTATAGCAAAAATGCTACAATGGTAAAACTCCGGTTTACTTTTTTGACAGGAATAATGCTTTGGGCATACCTAAAACTAGAGTAGGCTTTTCCCAAGCTGTCTCAATTTAGAGGTGATGTGACAGGAGAAGGTTAGCACCCAGGACTGCAAAGGAATGTATTTGCACTTGAATTTGGTTCTTGGAAAATTACAAAGACATATTCTGAGTGATGCTGTTGAGGCCATACAGCCTTGCAGAGTAGGAAAATACTTGTAACTTTAGTAGACAAAAGCATAAGATCCTCTTATCAAGAAAGAGTAGGCAGAAGATTTGTTGTATTATTTTTAGAATTTTGTAAATAAACTGGGATCATGGAAGGTAAAGACTTCGGGGAAAACATCAATGCCAAATTATGGTAAGGAAAGTAGGAGAAGCTCTGCCAAGTAGCAAAAAGCTTTTGTGTGGCTTAGATAGGGCATTAATCCTGTAACAGTGCTTGTGGCTACTCAACGCTTTGTCGCTCTGCTGGTTTTCACATATGTGAATTTAAACAGATCCTCCTGGCCAAAAGGCAGATTCTTTTCCATTTGATCTGGCAAAATTTTTCTCTCATCTGTTCACAGTTTTGGCTCTATAACTAGACAGTATCATAATGGTCCACACAACTGACTGAACAGTCAGATTTATGTTTGTTTATGCCCTTGCATATTTTTATAAGGCTCAAAAAGTATCAGGCTCATCACAGAACTAGTAAAATTTATGGATCGCACAGAGTAAAGTTTACAGCTATTTCAAATGTTACACAGCCGAGAGCTGAGAACACAAAGAAAAGGAAGGAATGAAGAAGGGCAGACTCATAATAATATTACATGACTACTCAATTAAGCTGTATGCGTCAAGGCGGCTCTGTTCAGACTCACTTCCTATTCCAGTAGGGCTACCTTAGGCAGACACCATATTCTGATTCATTTGTATCCCTGTTTATCTGGGCTGTGGATCAGCTATACAGTCTATACATGTATCTCACCACGTATGAGCCGAGGCAAACAAATCAGGCAACAGCATCACTACAGGCAATTTGCTAGGCTCTGCTGCTTAATATCAGACAAAGTAAACTGTAGCACTTTCCTTTATAGAAAAACAGAGTGGTGCCTTCAGAACAGAGGTAGTAAAGCACACAATAGCATCTAAAGCTGTTTCAAGAAATACCAGTATATCATACCAATTAAAGCCTTTCAGCACGGAAAGCATTCATTGATGTTGTGAAGAGAAGTTTTGCTGTGTCATCCTTTGAGATAAAGACAATGCTGCAGAGTCCAATGGCTTCATCTTGCAGAGTTTAGGGTACCAGACCTGCTGGAAAACTTGTACAGGGGAGATTTTTATCTCTTGCTCAGTTGAAAACAAACTGAGAAACTAAAATTAAATAGAAAAGGGAGCAACAACAAAATCTACAAGTTTGTCAGCAGTCTGAGGAAAAAGGGAGAGTAGAGGCCCATTACTGAGCAGGAAAGAGAGCGAATAATAGATGATGTGTAATGGATTGAAGGATAAAGCACCCTCTTTTTGTTTCAGAAGAACAATATAGTTTAACAATGAAGATAATTAATATGATTCATTTTAACAAGATGATAGTAGCGCACACAAAATTTGAGTTAAACCCCTTAATAGGTGCGTTAAATTCCGCAGGGCCAGATGGAATTCACCCTAAAGTATTTTTTGCAAAAACAACAAAAAACCCCACCAAACAAACCATAAATAACTACCCCAAGCAGTCTCTGCAACATTGAAAGTTATTTCTGAGAAGCCATGCGGAAGAATCCTAGAGGACTTTTGAAAGACAAACAGTTTCATCTTTAAACGTAGGAAAAATAGGGTCCAAAATATAAACCAACTAGTCTAACTTCATTCTTTAAAAGGATTCTGGAATAAATTACTAAAAAGTATTTTTTTAAATATCGAGAGGATTAAGAAGTGAGAAACATTATAAATGGATTCATCAACTTCCATCTTCAACAAGAGAGTTTACTTGCTGATGATGGGGAAGAAGTAGGTACTATATAATTTGACTTTGGTAAGAGTTTTGACACAGTTCAATTTTAAAGGAATACTAAGGAGGCTAGTTGGCCTAAATGATACCATCTAGACTTATGAACGAATGATTACACTTTTTGAAAATGCATTTGACTCTAATCATTAACAGTTTCCCATTAAACTGAAATGGCATTTCAAGTGGTATTCCAGGAGTCTATCCTGGCTCAATCTTGGTCTGATTCAACATTTTGATTAATTTTGATGACGAAATAGAAAGTGTGCACAGAAGATGTGTGACGCTGTTCTGGGAAGGATTTTAGTCATTTTGGGAAACTAAAAGGAGGAGAAACAATATTTTGACAAATTTTAAATAGTCTAAATAATATGAAATTCCATAAAGCGCAAAGGATTGCACTTTGAAAGAGAAAGCAAATGCATGAATATAAACCGGGGAATAATAGATTACTAGCAATATATTGAAATAGGATGTGAGAGCTGCAGTGTACCGTAATATAAATAATGGATTGACAGTGAGATGTTACTGCAAACAGCCAAATACTATTATAGCACATAAGAAGCGACATGTAATTTGAGAATGGTAGCAAGTACTTATTTCATTCTACGTCTAACAAATGAGGCCGTAGGCTTGATACCTTCAGGAAGATGTAAATCAGTTGGAAAGAATCTGGGGAAGAAAACACTGCCTATGAGAGAGGTCAAGAGTCTGGATACAGTCTGAAAAAGCGTGAAGGTACATTTAAAACAAAAACACACACACACACGCTCAACCCATTAGAAGATTATGATCAGTTGTCCTACTTGTCTGCTGAAGGAAGAGAAAATCATCATACAGGAAAATTGATTTAGGCTGGCTATTGCAAAAATCTTTCTAAAGAAAGTAGCTCAACACTGGGACACTGCGGCTGCCCTGGCCCTCCACCCCATCCCCCATTTGAAGCTAAATATCTGTATCTTGTAGATTCTGATGCAGTTCACTAAACTAGATGGTCCTTCCCTGCGTCATCCTTTGAGTAATCCCTCACAATTCAATAATCCCTTGACAAATTCAAATTGTTTGCTGCCAAGTGCACCAATGGCCCATCCCTCTCAGCGCGCCTGCGATCCTGGTGGTGGCCGGCGTTGGATCCGACTCACTCCTGTGGGGAAACGCGCTTCCAGTGCTTGTGGACACAGGTGGGCAAGACCGTGCTTTCTGCGCACGCGCCTGAGCCAACGGACTCTCACACCGTGCAGTAGTAAGAAACGTTGGCAGGTACTGAGCGGGCACATCTCTTGCAAGGGATAAAGATGATTCTGTTCCCAGACTGCAACAGAAAGCCTAGTGATGAAAACTGCGTGTCGGAATCAGTGAATTCGTACCCAAGGGGCAGAGGGGACGTGTATTTTTCCCAGAGGAGGCAGATTTTTAGGAGTGAACACCTGTACTGAAAGGGTATTCACGACGCACTTGAGTTCACGGCTGTAACGCGGACTCGGTGCTCTCAAGAGGCCTTCCCCAGCTCAGGCACCGGCCGGTACCGGCAGCGCAGGCAGCAGGAAAGCCCTGCGCCGCCAAATCCTGCACAGCCGCCAAGCACCGCCCCGGCACCACCCGCGCCCTCCTGACGTCACCACGTCGTCGTTCCCAGAGCACTCTTGCGTCGTGGCACGAACCCGGATGTGAGCGCAGGGTGGAGGCTGGGGGAGGTCGCGCCGCCAGGCTGCCCGGCCCTCTTCCGCCCGTACCGTGCTCGGCCTCCTGACGGGGGCTGGAGCCGGCAGCGTCACCCCTCAGCTGCGCATGCTCCCCTTGGCCGAGGACGCGGGGGCTGACGGGGGACGCTCCCTCCGGGCTCGCTCGTGAGTAGCAGATGGCGCCACCAGTGAGCGAGCGGGCTGCGCGGAAGTCCTGCCCGCGGCGGAGGGGGGGGTATTGTTGTGGGTGACGTCACGGGCGGAGGATGCGGGCGCCCCATTGGCTCGGGCTCGGCGGCCGTGCGCTGGGATCTTAAAGGGCGACGGGAGCGCGGGCCGCGCCGGCCGGGCGGGGCCCATGGCCAGCACCAGCAGCCACCTGGTGAGTCCGGGGCG